TTAGCTTAGATGAGGGACAGTTTGCCTCCTTTCCAAGCCCCTCTCCCCAACTTCTCTCAGGACCCCTGGGAGCTCCAGTGAAGACTCAGTCCCCCTCAGGGTCACCTACCTAAGGTCACCCCTGGAGCTGGACTTGAGCGTTACTTGGCTTGCTTTGGCTTTCTGAAGGAGGTTCCCCTGAACCATGAATGTTCACCATAAAAATCCCAGGGATAACCGCAGGCTGCCTTTCCTGACCCCCTCTCGCCATGGTCACACTATCCGAGTCTCATCTTGCCCTTGCCCCACAGGTGGACTTGTACGGCTTCGGGGCAGACAGCAAGGGGAATTGGCACCATTACTGGGAAAACAACCCATCTGCGGGCGCATTCCGGAAGACCGGGGTACATGACGCCGACTTTGAGTACAACGTCACCACCACCCTGGAAGCCATCAACAAGATTCGGATCTTCAAGGGGAGATGACGCTGCAACCCGTTAAGGATGGACACACCGCATCTCGCTCTCAACTTGCAGCCCCAGTGTCTCACTGGAGCCATTTTGTTCTGGAAGCTTCCGGGGCTGGACTTGGGGTGTTCCCAGGCTTGCCGGCAGTCTCTTGCGCCCTCATTTTGGTAGCATCTATTTGACAAAGTTGTCCGACTCTCCCAGGGTACCGAGCAAGTCTCAGGCCTCTCCAAGGTGGGAGTACTTCCCCACTGCTCTCCCCTAGCTGGGGGACAGTGGGACGACACTGGGAAAGGTCTAACCTCGGAATAATGGCAGTTATTTTGACTTCTGGGGTGGGGAACATAAATCGTGGAGATTCCTATGTTCTCCTATGTTCAAAAAGGTGGACATTTCCCAGAAGTCATTTACAGGCTGCCATTGAACTGTAAGCCTCATACTCAACTCAGACACTGGCTGGGACGTTTGTGACAGTTGTCTCCAGAGCAGAGCCACACTGGGCCACACCAGCACTGTTCGCCTTTGCATGAAGCCTGGCCTGCCACTTGATATGACATCCCCATTGTCCCTTTCTTCCCAAAGCTCCCTGATGATGGCGGGCAAAGCTTCTGATTGCCGAGGTCTCCCACAGAAACCTGGCGGCAGGAGGGAAGCCCTCTCATCATCCTGTGTGATTACCTTCCGTGGTGATAGGGATGGTCGGAGCGGGTCTAACTACTTCCACGTGCCTTTGAACTTGAGGAAGGATTGCATGCATTGGCTGACATGAAGCAAGGTCCCCAACTGGAAAACGGGGACCTCGACCAGCGTCCCGCTTTGCTGTATCTCTCACAATCTCTTTTCAAATGCACTCTGCATCAGTCAGAGTGTGCCAGGCGTGGGACGGGTGCTCACTTCTATTTCCTCAGACTATTGGGTTCAGGACCACTAACAACCAGCATCCTCCCTGGAGTCCTGAACACTGGGCTGAGTCCCTAGCAGCCACCTTCCTGGCGTCCTTGGGGGTCTCAATAGGGACATCCTAGGGCCACAACTGAAAAGCATGTACCTTTTCTCCTTACTCCTGTCTGTTCTCCCATCCTCCCTCTGTAGACTTGCTGTTATTTATTGATTGGTTAATTCAGCTGACCCTGTCTGTGCACACTCTTCACCATCCATCACTGCTCACAATGCT